TCTCTAGGAACTGCTGTACTGTAGGACCTAGAAGAAAACCCACTTGTTTTCTGATGCTCATAATGAGTTTTCAGGCATTAGTGACCTATACTGGATTGAAACCAATAGCCTACAGGTGAAAGCTTTACTCTTGTCAATTTATTGAGCAATCCAGGCTCAGCTTGGGTTTTGAATGGAGCTTTTCAGTAAGAAAAAACAAATGAACCAGCTGTTCCTTGCGCAAATGTGTTCTATGTAGACACTTAAGCTCCTTAAATTAGCTAGTCTCATTGCAATGCTAGATTTTGTTTTGTGTTGTCTTAATTTCTCTTCCTGCAGCAAGTCTGTCTGGGGGAAGGGAAGAAGAGATGGAGATTTGCTTAGTTTTTGAGTTCTGGGCGTTTCTGAGCAATCCTTCTCAAAACTGCTTAAAATCTTAAAGAAATAGAAGGCACATCATGAACAGAAGACAAGAAATTTGCTGCTTTTTGTGAAGAAAGTGGTATGCAGCATTAAAGAAATGCCAAAATGCTGTTAAAATGCATTAGAACTTTGTATGTTTTGGATGAGTGTGGTCAGATGTGCCTGATTTCAGTAACTTCCGCAAAAGTTTACCATGGTGTCATTTAGGTCGCTTAAATTGCTAGTCCTTTCATGTGCAGAGGACAAGTAAGTTCAAACTCTGAACTGCTTAGAGGTGGTAGCAGTATCTCAACCAGTCCTTTTTTAGTGTTTTCCGTTACCAATCTAGACAACTATCTCCATCCTAATAATCTCAGTAAAACAGAGTTTTATGGCCTGCAGGGCAATTAATTTCAAAATGTTCCAATTTCGTATGCTTGATGATCACATCTGCTTATTTTTCCACTCAGAACTCTCAAGCTGTCTCCTACCTGGATAACAACCAACAAGAAACTCTGCCTCACAGCTCCTTCCAGAATTCCCCAGTCTCCAAGTCAACAATACTTTTGAAATATTAAAATAATCCCACCCACTGTGGTTCTAGCATTGTATCTTCTGTTCTCTCTGACTTGAATCAAGCCTATAAAGTTAACTCCGTAACTGTGTTGCAGCACTTATACTGAATGACTCTAGAGCTTGCTTGACAGTGTAAGTCTTTAACTGTAAAATTGTCAGAGCAGTGAATCAGCGAATGAGATCCTCGAAGCACTCCTTGGATCATGTGCCATGGCACCTTAATTCTGAATGATAGAAAGGTGGAAAGGATTAAGGTTTGAGTGGGCGGGTTGGTTAGTCAGTTGGTTCTGTCCTTGGCTTTCCTCAAAGGCAGTTCTTCATCTTGCTACCAGGATGTTTTGTGTCTGAGTTTATTAAAGACATGTCAACATCTAGAGGAGTAGTTAAATACACAAAGAATACTCAAGTATATGAAGTATTGATAAGCTCTCCTCAGTATTGTTGTAAGATCCTTTTATAACATCTTGGTCTTTGATGTCCAGTACAGAATCCTCCACCTAGACCTGCATGCCTGACACCCATCCTTTCTGCTGCATTCTTCCTGAAATCTGCTGCTTTCACGTGGTTTCTTTGTATGATCCAGCATCTGGGGAAGGAAGAGGAAGCAAGGTGGGGGGACCTGTCTTGGTGGGCTGTTGGAGGGCTGTCCTCACCCAGCCAGGGCTCCTGGCACCCAGCACCCTGCCCACTTTTGCGGTGCTTGCCGGGGAGGGTGCAGGGCTGCCTGCCTGAACTGCGAAACCTCTGCTTGCGTTGCTTTTTCCTGCTCTGGTTTACGGAATGCTGCATCCTTCCTATGCCGCAACTGGCTGGTGAGGACCCTTGTTGCCTAGGTAACAGGGAAACCTACAGGAAAAAAAAAAAAATTTCTTTTTCCTCTCTTTTCTCATAAAAGCTTGAGGTTCTTTAGTGCCCCTTGCTGCTGAATAACTTTTGTGGCCCAAGCTGGTGTATCTTGTGGGAAGGACCAGAAACATGTTTTTCAATTGTAACAGCAAAATTACGAAGGGTTTTGTAGTTCAGCTGTTTAATTTCCTGCATGCTTTGCACTGTTTAAGGGACACAGCAGCGAGTGCCTCAGTGAAGAGCTGCTATCTGCCTGGTGAGATAGGCCTTGCCGTGGTGGCTGTGGGCAATTCAACCACATTTTCTCTTCGTCTCTGATAACTTTTTTTTTACTGCATCCCTTAAAATAGCTCCAAACTCACCATGCCTGTGGTTAACGTGTTCAGCAATCGTTTCGCTTTTGAACTCCAACCAACATGACACCCCTTCACCCTCTGCCTTCGAGTTTGTTGCTGTTTACGACACCTTGAAGGTTGTCCCAGAGCCAGACCTTCTCCAAAGATCACTTAACTGAAAGCCTGGTGAAGCCTGGCGGGATTTAGATGGCTGAAGATGACCAGGCTGTGTGTGCACAGCTCGGTATCTCCTCAGAGGTGAGGACCAACACCTACTTATCTCCTCCCTGGAGCTCTGGCTTGGTCTCCAGCAAGGCACAGTGTGCCAGTGAGGAGGTGGTGCCATCGTAAAGTCTTTTCTGCTTGCACTAGTCATCTTCTGTGCTTGAATACATATATCCAGTCTTGAAAGTCATGGAGTGGTACGTGAGAGTCTTGGGGACGTTGTTACCAGTATGAGTGGAAGAATGGGATTACCGATGAGGTTTATGGGAACCTCTTCTTACGTTAACAATTTGCCATAAACAGTTCCGCAGCCTGGGATGGGACTATGCAGTTTTTATTGGCAAGAGGTTTCCTCTACTTTTATCTTTTTTCTTTTTTTTTTTTTTTTAAAAGACAGACCTCCAAGTTATCTGCTGTTTCAGAGGATTTTTTTAATATTCCTTAACTGATTATGATTAAGCAATCCGGTGTTTATAGCATATGCTTTGACCTTTATGTTATTTCAGCTGCACAAGGATATAAATGATAAAGAAATTCCTTAGCCAGCTTACCCTATTATATTTAAAATTAACTCTTTGATGTGCTATTCTAAAATAGGAGCTTTTAAAGAAAGATGAAAGTTTAGCTGCTCTGGCTAAATTTAAAAACTGTTGAAGTTTGGATTTTTCTGGTTTTTTAGCAGCAAGCTACATCTACTTGTTTCTATGAACTGTGATCCAGATTTTTAGTACTGTGACATTTACTAAATAGATCAGGCCTACAGAATGAGGTGAACATTGTAAAACAAAATTGAAGTATGGGAACTTCAGGCCTTGGTCTGTAAATCACAGACAAAAGTACCATGAAAGGTATGGATCCAATAACAATTTTCATAAAAGCTGGTTTGCTCTGAGATTCATAAATTATACAAGACTGTGATGCGTGCTATAGCTATATTTTTCTGGATTTCCTTTTTTGTTTTGTTTTCTCAATAAAACTCAGGGCATAGCAGCCTTGGTGCTACCTGTACAAACAGAAAGGCCTCCAAAAGCAGCTGCACCTAAAACATTGATCTTTTAGCCAAAGATATCGTCTGTATGTTTTCTTCAACATAAATTATCCTTAAAAAGGATGGGGGCTTCTGTCTAAAGGAAAGAAGATTTCCAGCACAAGAAGCTGCTGTCACAGCAGACTGAATGACACAGTATGTCCCCAAGTTATAATTTTATATTACAGTAATTCTGTTGATCAAACAGCCAAGTTAAGACAACTCACTGTCAGCATGAAGAAAACTCCAACTGAAAAAAAACCACTCTTGGTTTCTAACAAGGAGCAGTTAGGTGTTGTGTGCAGAACTGCCCAGTCAAAGAGTTTTTTAAATATTCCCTAGCTCAAGGACTTGGCTTCTCTTCAAACACTTCCAAGTACAAAAGGATGGGTAATCTTGCAAGCGAATGTGCCCCCTCTAGGGGCAAAAATGTGTAAATTTGTTATAGCAGGTAATGCTCATAACAGAGGGAGAAGCATTTGCTTGGAGTGTGAGTATCTGGGGGTTTTCAACCGCAGTGAGAAGAGATTTCTGCTGTGATTTAGGATGCAGCTTCATCAGCATCTCGTTTCCCTCACTCACTGCAAGAGGTGATGTGCGCTGTGTGCAGCAGGGTGTTGCTTTCAGCCTTCTCACATTTTAACTCTTAAAACATTACAAAAAATGTGCTGCCATTTTTCCAGGATAGTTCTTGAAATATCTTTATAAAGTGTGTCTCATACTGTGAAAAAGTCAGCTTGTATTTATTAGTTCAGTAAGTGTTAAAATTCTTGAGCTGTTCTGTGGACGCTGTACCATTTTGGTAATAAGGAATGCCATGTGCAAGGCAGCACACCATTGCCCAGTGGTCTTTAACATGAACACGCAGATTATCCCGAGGAACCTCTCAGGAGTCTGGGGAAATAAAAATCACTCCTGAAACTTCGGGGCTTTGAACATGGGGGTTACTTTATGTTTGCGCAGCATCTGTACATGCTGGCTGTCGTTGCTCTGGCGGTGTCACCGCCCGCCATACGGACCGCAGAGTTGTCTGACTTGGGTGGTCGTGTGTGTTTGTTCTGGCAGTGATCACTAAAACATGAGCCCTATATGAAACCATTTCAGCAATTTCTGAATGTTTGAGAAGTTACAAAAATCTTTCTTTCACCGTGGTCTTTTGCCTTTGGTCTTTGCCATTTTGCCTTTTCACAGCTCGGGTTCAGGATCGTGTAATTCATCCAAGCAGCATTTTCTGGGTGCAAGCGAGCGTGAACCTTGGGCCATGCTGCCGGAGAAATACTGCTTTTTTAAGTTACACATGCGGAGAACATCATCCTCCCTCGTCTCTTCCTTCCTGCTGCTTTTGAAGTTTGTCCTGGTTTATCTGGAGGGAGGGGTGTGTTTGGCTTTTAGGGGGGTCCTTTTAACTCAGCCCCAAGTTCCCATAAGAAAACAAGGTCAAGCAATTTTTAATGAAAACTTGAGATTTTTCTGTCAATCCTTTAAAGCCTGATTTCAGACTTGATGGCTCAGATGGTTTAACAGTAGGGTAAATGCTTCCGAGCATGACCAATTCAGTGCTGAATGTGAAATGCATTCATACTCATTTTTTCCCCTCTTATCTCCTAAAGGTGCTCTTACAGAATGTTACGATGAACTGGGCAACCGGTACCAGCTTCCCGTCTACTGCCTTGCCCCGCCTATCAACATGATAGAGGAGAAGGGTGACCTGGAGACTCTGGATATTCCTGATCCCCCACCCAATTCAGGGCACGAATGCCAGCTTCGTTTGCGCCTGTCCACAGGCAAAGACCTCAAACTCATGGTCCGCAGCATGGACACAGTGTATCACATGAAGAGGCGGCTGCACGCAGTGGAGGGAGTGGAGCCAGGCAGCCAGCGCTGGTTCTTCTCAGGCAGGCCGCTGGCCGACAAAATGAAACTGGAGGAGCTGAAAATCCCAAAGGACTACGTGGTGCAAGTCATCGTGAGCCAGCCCTTAGCAAATCCCACCCCGGTGGAAAACTGATTTCTGCTTGTTTATTGATTCTTCTTTCCTCCGTCTCTGTCATGGGGTTTGTTTTCACTGCCCTCTCTTCTTTCTTTTTGTCCTGTTAATGGATTGGTTCCAAGAAACGACCAGCAAAAATTCCATCTGTGATGGAGATCTGCAAAAACAAAACATAAAATGTAAACTGGCCTTTGGGGTTTGCCTGATCTCGTATTTAACACAACAGCAAGTAGCACAGGGCAAGGGCAAAGGAAGGAGCGGGAAGGAGAACAGAAAAGGGAGGAGGTACAAGGAGTGAGTGAAGAGATTGTAGTTCACTTAATACAAAAATGTTATAATTCTTAAAACTGTAGGTGGTGTCCTGATCTGTGGAGCCAGAGCAAGAGAGCACTTTTTTAAAAAATAAAACAAAAAAAAAAACCACAAAAAAACCACAACTAAAACTCAATCCATTTATAAAATTTCATATCAGCACCACATACAGTTTATGCAAGAATCACAACTGCTCTGGGTAGGTCCTGCGCTGCGTGTTCATGGGGATCCTTTCTGGTTTGACCTAACTCACGTCCTTTGCCCAGACACTGCCGAGGCACAGCCGGCCCTGGGCAGCAGAACTGGGCTGGGGGCTCAGTCTCCGTCCTGCAAGGGGGGCTCCTGGCGATGCTCGGACCAAGCAATTGTACATTCCAAGTTGGCAGTGCAGTCCTGTGCCATTGCTGGCTCCCGAGCTGAGAACACAGCCCACCAGAGCCTTAGGCAATAATTTAGTTGATGTATACTCTCACGTACTGTACTGTAAACTTACTTGCTACAAGACTGACTTAGCCCGAAGCTTACTGGCTGACTGGCACCTGAGTACGTGCCTGCTGGGTTGCTGTATATCACTCGGATCATTAAAACAGGTTTTTATCAGGCTAAGGCAAAGGATGCGCTGGTCTGCGCTTAAGCACTAGGTGCATCGCCTTTGTCAAATGGCACTGGTGTTATAGATCCAGGTTAAACTGCGGTTACACCCAGATACAATGGATTGCAACTTCCCCTGCTCGGTTCATACAGGGCACAAAGCATGGAGGATGGTAAGGAGGACATGACAGCACATGGTTTTCAGCTTTTGGTCGGAGTGACAGTTGAAGCAGCAGCTAGTCTGCTAGCTCTGGTGATTCTCCAGCCAAGACAACTGGAGGTATCTTCACCAACACGTACCCATGGCCCAGAGTGTGATGGTGGTGTTTCACAGCCAGTGCTTTCCCTTCAGAATGTAAGAGGAGCCCTTTTGGCAAATGACAAATCCTTTTGTAGTCTCAAAAATCTGAATTGGAGCATATTTGGGGGGGAGGGGGGTCTAATTGCTTGTTCGCTCAGTTAGCAATGCTCTCCGTATTCCTTTGGCTGCTCTGCACCCGTGTCTGGTAATGCCTTTGGTTGAGATCAAATGCCCTGTTCCTTTTAAATATGATTTCTAGCTTGCTTGGTTTTTCTCGATCATTCTGGAATGACTTCACTTATTTGAAAGTTGAGTTCAGGTGTGAATAGCATATTATTACTGGTTTCTGTCTTCCCTCGCTGCATCAATGGTCTAAAGCTACAGTTGTCCCAGCTCTTTCTTGTCTGCTAGTGAAACTGGTGGGTTACATTGACGATTTTACACTTGTTACTTTTGCTCCTTCATTAATTCCGTAGAACTCAGTTTCTTGGACTTAAAGGGAGTTTCTTGCTCCACGAGCATCAGCACAGAGCCAGAACAAGCAGAGGTCACTTGGACAACATCATGAGTCTTTCCCAGCAGGTAGAAGCAGGCGCAGAATTTACGTTGATGGGTGGAAAACAGATCCATGTTTTGTATGCGTTTCCTACCCTCCCCCAGATAAACATAGCTTTCTTTTTGGTCTCCGTGTTGGATTAAGCCTATGGTTTTCTGACAGCTCCTTCAGCCCCGGTTTGGCGCAGGATGACTGAAGTGCAGTGTCAGAGCTGTGTAAAGGAAAAATAGTTCCCTGTTCTCATAAACACCAAAGTGACTTGGTTTTCTGGTTTTCTGTTTTTTTATTTTTAAAAATGAAGTCAAAGCTGATAAATGCTAATCTATAACAAAAGGTTTCTATTCTGGAGGGTTTTTTAAAAGACGAATATGATTTACTATACTTGGGTTTTGCAGCCAGATCTTTTGCATTCCAGAGGGGAAAAAATACTTAATATGTAAACAACTCAAAATCTTCTGGATTTTCACCAAGCAAAGCATGGTTTCGTACCAGGAAGACACTACTTGTAAGGCATCACTTACATTTGTGTATAAATAGTCTTTATGATGTCATTTCCCCGCAGTCCCTTCTGGAAGGGGGGAAATCGTGATGGGTTAAGGAGGAGCAAACCAGGATGGGAGTTCTGTAACTGTGAACACGAAAACACTACTTTTTTATTGTTTAACATTTTGTTGATTTTTTTTTTTTTTGCTTTTTGTATTTTCATTCAGGCAATTGTTGTCATGTACTGTTTTTGAGATTACTACACGTAGAGGCTGGGAGAGCTCCTTTTCCTCTCCCCGCTCTTAGCTGGAAAAGGTTCAGTTTTATTATGCCGTAATGGATGACCATATTTTATATTAATTGCTTTTATGTCGGGGAGCAAGGTGATGATCTGAAGGCCATGTGAGTGGGCTTTGAGTAGAACAGAGAACTGGTCTGTGAAAATACTACTTTTTCTTAACGGCCTCCCCCCAAAACCCGTGTCCCTTACGCGCATATCTAAAACTGAAAAAATTCAATGGTAAAATGCTTCTATAGGTGAAAGTGAAGACTTTTTGACCTCTTCTGTATAAAATGACAGATGTGCTAAGCACATACCCTACTGGAAACAAATTTTACAAGATTTGTATTAGAAAGGAATTCTAAGTTTCAAAATGCATATATATTAAAAAAATATCAGTAATGAACGCATACAGCATGTTGACTAACATATCCCACGTATATAACTAGAGGTTCTAATATACAATGAGAGATCAGTCATTCCTGTCTCTGAAATGCCTTGTGTTTGTCCTACGCGATGGTCTTCGGTGCGAATGCCAGTGCAGGAAACCAGGCTGGGGCTCCCCTGGGACGCGCGCTGGTTCCTGGGGCAGAGCGGGGCTCCCTGCGTGCCTGGAGCGGGGAGGGAGGGAGGGAAGCCTTGTTTGGTGCCCAGCAGAGTAGGCCTGGCTGGAGTAAAAAAAAACGCTGTTCAGCGACAGCCCTGCTGAGAAGGCAGGACTGGTGCGGATCTGTGGGGCCGACAGCAGGGCCTGCTCGCGGGGAGGGTGGACAGAAGCAGCACGCTGGCGTTCATACCTGCGTTTTGCGGCGTGGGTGTATGTGGAGCTGCACGCCACTGGCGACACGGCACGCGCTGGGTTTCGGGATGGTGGTTGGCGTGCTGCCCGGTGCTGTGCAATGTCTTGGTTAGAATCAACGTAATGCAGTGGGTGTTGTGATGCGTGCAGCTGTGAACTGCAGTGCTAAGTGCAGACAAGTGAGGAGTGATAGGATTTTTCTTTTATTTGTTAGATCCATCAGCCCTTTGTGTCATTCCTCATTAGCTCTGGCTATGAACTGATGCCAGCAGATAACCTTTATTTCTTTTTGTTTTTACCTTGTTAGTGACAGGTCTGTTTGATGTGATTGAAATTTTTATACTCTTTATTGCTACTTCTACCTGACCCAGAAGTAATAACCTAGTGAAAGTTCTCACTCCTGAACAGCTTGAAAGGCAGAGGCATGAACACGTGTTGTCTGCTGGGGCGAGGGAGCTCCAGAAGAGCTGCAGATGCTGTAGGTACGTTGCTTGGTGCGCTGCAGAAGGGTGCTCGGGGTTGTCTTCCATAACCAAGTGACAGCTGCTCCTCCTGAGCACCCAGCTCCCAGAAATTTCGTTGCCTGCCTTGGCTCTTTGTGCATCCCACTTCGTTGGTATCCTCTGCAGAAGACACAGCATGGAATAGCTGCACTCTGAGAACTTTTTGTAGTTTTCTGAAAGCCTTGCTTCTGTGGATCTGGGAAATATTTTGGAAAACTAAATGGTGCGAGTCAGCAGTGTAATAAGTTGGTCTTTTTAATAGACCCCCCCATGCTAAAAGTAGTAGTAACAACAACAAAAAAAAAGCCCTCACCCCAGGAGCAACCAAACAAAACCCCAGCTCCTCTTTGCCTTTCACAGAAAGCTCCTAAGTTGCTTTACAGAAGAGAGGAAAGAGGGGTTCATTGGAGCAGCAAGGCAACACATGACAATGTGCATAACCTTTGGTAAGGCAGATGGCCGGTTGATAAAATATTGCTGTAGTATGACATACTTCTGCATATATATATCCATTGTTAGTAAATAATGTAAAAACTTTTAAAAAACTATTAAAAAAAAAATCTTTTTTTGTTAAAATGGTGGGATGCTTTTAGCCATGGAGTTTTGAAAGAATTTTAGCCGTGTAAGTGTTGAGAAATTGAATGCTGTACGTTTCTCCATTTCTATCGTCTTCAGAAGCGTAAGTGGTAGCTACTTGTCTGACTCAAGCTATATTTTACAAACTCTTTTCTATGTCACTGTAAATATATCCAAGACCCTGTACCTTATGCAGAGGATGTTTACATTTAAAAAAAAAAAAAAAAAATTTTTTTTGCTTGTTCACTGCGCTGCTCAGATCCTGTTATGTTGAAATGAAAGTACTCTCTGTTAGAAGAAGGGGCTTTTTTTCTTTGCCCTTCACCACTTCCCCTGTAATTCTGCCTCCCTCCTGGATGATGGCTGGCAACTCTTGGACAGCTTGCGCCCTCTTGGAGTAGAATGTAGAGGTATTTGAGAAAGGCTTTTTTGAAAACTTTCGGGGCGGGGGGGAGGTGTGTATGTGTGAGCTTCATATGCTTTGCAAACCTTTTTGGAAAAAGAAAAATCTGCTTCGAACGCACTAGATGTTGGTGGTCTGCCTTGCAAGTTAACTGATCTAGGAAGCCTTTGAGTTAAACTTTCCAGCAACCGTGCTTCTGTCTTCTCCCAAAGAAGATGAATGTCCTGCTATTATATCTGCAGCTACAAACACTTCTGTTGGCTAATGGCTGTATATACAAGTCTGCCTGCTTTAAGACTTTTCAGAAAGTGTTTTTGATTACTCTGTTCTGCAAATGGCTCTCCTCTTCCATAATTCATCCTCTTAGACACTCCATAGCTGCGTGTGTGTTGCTCTTGTTCATAGGAGATGGAGCTAGAGCTCTGCTTCCGAGGGAGATACATGCCACCGAGCCTACGAAAGTCAAATAGTTGGAAGATGAGCTGTTTTAACCAGTGGACTTTGAGACTTTTAATAAATGTGTCCACTGGACTCTCCGTGAAGAAGTATGTTCCTGCCCTCCAAGCAGGACCACTTGTTTGGTATTTATCTGGTAGAACTCTGTATTTGTATATTTTACAGACAAAGACCATTTGATCAGAACCATGGGGCAAATAGAGAACTTAAAATCCTGACTCCTGCCTTAAAACTTTTAGTTCATCTTGAGCTCCAAAAATTCTGCACCTGCTCGTTCCCAAGGCCCTTTTTTCTTTAGGAAATTTGAACCCAGTCAAAGGCTGGAGACAATTTAAGAACTATCTAAAACAAAATAAATTTTAGCTGATGGCTTTATTAAAATAACTAACTGGTCTTGTATTAAAAACCCTATTTGTGCCTCTCAAGTCCAGGGAATGTTTAAAAAGTGAAGGTGGCTTTTGAGCAATGATTGAAATGACTGCATTAGTTGGCAATTTGTAAGACACTTGCTTTCATATGCTCTGAGCAAGAGACTTCGGTTTGTGTCCTCTCTGCCTCATTGTAATGGCTTTCAAAGATGGCTGGTACCATCAAATTTGTACTTCTTGAATAAATATCTGCATTTTTATGGTAAAATTTTTGTATGCAGTTTTGTTGTTTGTGCCAGGTAACAAACATTCATACGACATGGGATACGGTGCTAGGTTTGCTACTGACACAAAAAATGCACAGCTCCAACACACAGTGAAATAAGGATAAGGGGATTCCAGTGACATGACCATTTTTTTTCCCCTGTAACTTTTATAAAGTCTTTTAGAATCAAATATACCAGTTGTGTAAAACATGCATTTTAACTTTCCTATCCCTGGCTCCTTCAGTCAGTGAAGAATTCCAGTCCAATGTAAAGATGCTGTGAACATCAGGTAACTTTTAAAATGCATTATGTATTTTTATGTTGTACCTCTGTTTCTTGGTTGACATCACAGTAGCGTGTGCACAGTTTTTTAATCAACTGCAAAGCACAAGTAGGTTGGTTTTAGACTGTTGAATTATGTGATTTTTTTTTATAACCTACAGAAGATCTTCTAGCATGGAGAGCAAACTATCGTGAACTTCTGTGAGTCAGAAATGCTGTACAAAATTTCCGGTACTTAAAGAAGCGAAACTTTTTTCCCCCCTGCATTTAGAAAATAAAAGTAATCCTGGAAATACCATGCCTTAAGAAATAAATTCAGTGTTGTTTCTTCAGTAGGGCTTTTAATTCTCAGCTGGAACTCTGCAACTTTTTCACTACCTGTCTGATACCCTAGAGGCATATTTTGCTAATAATTTTGCTGTTCGACAATGTATCTTGCAAGTAAGGTGTGCAGTCCATGGAGAATGCAGGGCCTGGCGATGCACTCAGACATCCAGCATGAACCTCCTCTGTGCCCGGCTCCTGCTGTCTGCAGATGTGCTTCTGCCTCCTTGGTGAACAGTACGAAATAATGGATCTGTGTAATTGTCCTATAATTACATTAACTGACATGTTGTCTTAATTCAGGTCACCACTTTTGTACTCTTTGATTAACTACCTAAGGTATCAGAGGAGCAGGAATAATTTTTTGTAGGCCACTTTGGTCTAATGTTATCACAGCTAAATGTTTTTTTTGGTCTTAGGATAATTTCACAGTAGAATTTGTCACGTGAGTTACAAACAAATCAGCATATGATTTTGCTGGAA